TATAGTTTCAGGCCATTCTCATACAAATCAATGTTTGGATCAGTATTTGATGAGAAGTCCCAAGGAAACATGCAGACAACTGGAGACAGTATTATTTGTAAAGCAAAACCAGGAGCACTTATGGTCCATGAATATAGTTGTACAGCATTGCAAAGCAGGAGTAATAATAATACTGTTTTCCCATCTAAGCTCACCTTATTGCTTCTTTATAAGAACCTACACAGGAAATAAAGCTACAGTACAAGTCAGCATTTCATATCATAAATTAACTTGAATGAAATCTCTTTACTTCAGGGCAAATTCTTCAAATAACAGTTCTGCATCCACTGTAGATTCAATCTTGCATTTCACTTACGAGTCATCCTGCTACTCTTCAGTATCATCATTGGGGAGCTTAGGCCCCCACTGCTTCCACTTATGTTAGTGACCCAGGCACATGCGTTTTTTGTAGCTGTAAAAATTTCTCTTTATGAAACTATGACAGTAAAAGTTTGCAGCTAGATATGATCATCAAGGCAAAATACTAGGTACCGATTACCCCCAGACTGAAAAGAAGAATAAAAGACTTTGCAAGCCTCTCTAACCCAGCTTTCTCTATGGGTGGTATGGAAAAAAACCAATCAGTCCTCCTGCAGAATGTTCCTGGAGTTTCTAAGTTTGTCAGCTGTCTCTGATCTCTCATTCAACAGGCTGTCCCTATCCTGACATCTCTGAAATTTTTAGTTCTTTCTTGTGGTTTATTCTTTATGTTGTCTGTCAAAAGCAGTAAGCAGCTATAATTAAACATGTTCTTACAGAACTCCATATTGTTGCCCCAAAAAGATTTTATTTTCTATACGACTCTCCCCTCTGTTCATGAGACAAATGTACACATTCAATTAGTCTTCAGTTCACTGATTCAGCTAGAACAGGAGACGCAAACCCCTACTTTGTCTACAGATGAATGAGATCCTTGAAGCATAGCAGTTCTATAAAGATATCTGATCAACATCAGGAAAAGGAATTTGAATGTTAGAAATTAACAAATGATTAAAGAACCAAAAACATCATTATGCCACTGTATAAATCCATAGTTAGCCTATACATTGACTGTTCCGTGCATTTCTCCATCTTAAAAACTCTACAGTTGGCTTGGGAAAAGGTACAGACCAATCTGAACAAGGGTATGAACTAGCTTCCACACAAGCAATTATTCAACAGACTAAGGTTATTCAGCCTGGAAAGAAATAGAGTGAAAGATCACTAACAGAATCAAGAAGGTAAACAGGGGATAACAGTTGTTCTCAGATTCAAGTACTTGGAACGTGAACTGAAGTTAGCAAGTAGGAGTTTCAAAATTAAAGTTCATAGTTTCTTGTGGCAAACATTTCTACAGTTTAACTGTGCCTTAATGATGTATTCTGAAAATTTACATGAGCTCAAAGTATTGAAGAAATTCACAGAAGAGAAATCCATTAAAGACTTATTAAATACAAAACCACCACTTTTGGCTCACAAACAGCTTGGTCACATATCAGCAAACACTAAGAGTAGTCGGGGGAAGTATCACTCTGTGCTTACTTGTTCTTGCATTCTTCCCTAGGCATCTACTGCTGGTGACAACATACTGAGCAGTATCGACCTTCGGCAATTTAGTCGGTCAGGCACATCCACATATTACTATGCATGTACAGATACTGTTTAGCATACTGATTGGGATACTCCCAGCACAAAAATATGAAGCTTGGACCTTAAGGAAGTTTCATATTAAAAAGTTGTTTTGTAATTTATCAGTCATTAAAAAAACAAAACCCTTTTGTTATCCTGTTTTAGAAGGAAAAAAACATTTTTCCTACAGAGTTCTGCTAACTGCTACTGTTTTAACTTAGCTTAACTTACTTTCCTTTTGACATAGCAATTCTACTAATCAGTAAGTAGTTTCAAAATGTGAATAATTTTTAAAGAAAAAAAAAGCAAGCAGCCTCCCTGCCAGTTCAATTACTTTTCCCTTCTTCTCATTTGAAACATTAGGATTTTCTACCAGCTGATATTCTGCCATGCTGCATCACTGTCATATGATAAATTCAATCAAGGGTACACAAAAGCTACTTTAAAGGCTAACACCCTATGCAGCTGAAGTAGCTAGAAGCTAGATCAACATAAGGATCCACCTTACAAAGGTCACTACCTCTAGAACATAAGCAAACTGCATACACAATCCAAAAGGCATAAATTTTTGCCTTCTATTATTTCAACACAGCCTTTTTGTAATGCTTTGTTAAATCATAATTGAATTAACACATCAAATCAAAAGAGCATTTTTGTTTGGCCAAGGTCTGTCTGGATATCATTTTTCACCACCAGGAGTATGTCATTAAGCAGACAGAGCATTAACCACATTCCACAGTGACACTGCAATACACAAGAAATATCCTTCTGTACTGGAATCAAATTATTGTCTTGCTGACACCAGGAAACCTCTGGCGAAGAACAGTAGAGTTTACCTTTGGAAGGAAATAATATGAACCTTAGACTTTCCTAGTTATTTCAAGCTGCTGCCTTTTTTCACAGCTTTATGACAGGACATTTGTTAGTATAGCAGCATACATGTAGTCTAATTGATGAGGTTTCCTCATGGTTTTAAACTACCCTTTTTAGAAATTCAGTTTGTCTTAAATTGGTGAAATCTGTACTTGGAAGTTCAGAATTCCTCATCCTTGAAGAGCAGTCATATACTTTCTTATATAAGCATTAAAGACCTATAAAAGCACAGCTGAAAGTTACTCTGTCTTATGGATGAGAGACAAAGGAAATATCCTTCATGGCTGAGGTAACATTATACAGTGTGCTTGTGTGCATGTATATTTTACTCTAGCAACTACAGATTCCCCATCTTAATTTTGTACATTTGATCATTTTTCAGGAAGCTTATGTCTGTGTTTCCTAAGCTGTGGTAGATGTCCCACCAGAGTGCTCATAAGGGAGCAAGTGACAAGGACAGAATGAAAGGTTAAGAGCTAGCGAGCTTACAGAACCAGAATGAATGCAAGTCAAGTCATGATGGTGTTTTACCCAGGCTGTTTGGGATGGAGCATGTGAATAACAGAGTTTACTTGAAAAGGGACGGTACAGGCAAGACAGTATGGAAAGTTTTCATCTAAAGACAACTGTCACTAAAACTGAGCCTTCAGTCTAAGGAGCTATTCAATATTATAAAGCATTTATGTGAACTCTGTTCCCTCCTGCAATACCACCACTGTATTTACTTTCACAAAGACATATGTTAAGTGTGAGACGTTTAGTCAATAAACAGAAAATTTAAGAAACATTGTATATATAAAAAAATTATTTCCACTAATAATCTTTTGTTTATGGAAAACTGTTTACAGATACAGTTCACAACTACAGAGTTTAACATTTAAAACATTTAACTGAACAGGCTTTATATCCAAATAAAAACATAGTGAAGCCTCTTTCCTGAACTAGTTGAAATCATACATATTTACTAATTGCTGGCAGGGATCCTCAGCTCAATCCAGCTTTAAGTCATATTTAAAAATCTCACTCTGGAAAGCACAGTAACTTGAAACTTCCACTAACTTGATAATCACAAAAAGATGTCAAACATCTTGCAGAGTCAAGTAGGATGTTTTTATTTCAAAAAGTATCAGCAGTAACTTCAATGGCTTATTTACGTATGTCCCAGATGAGATGTACAAGATGAAAAAAATAAGAAAAGTGTCACAGGAATGAAAAAGACTTGTATAAAATGTATTTGCTCTTCAATAATCCAAAAGGCAAAACAAATTTATGTGTAGACCACAGAATTTCCCACTATACTGGTGTGACTGTATTCCATCTGGATTATTCATCACATTACCTTTTGAACATTCTATCTAATTAAAGATGCCTAGATACTATGCTGTTTGTTATTGTACTGTCTTTGAATGAAGTACAGAAATAAAGTAGTAAAAGTAGTAGTGAAGGAAGGTATTAAAATACAAAATTTCACATAAGAAATGAGGCACCGTTTGAGAAGTGTGGGGTTTATTACAGCTTTGCCATTATATTAATGGATGGCAAGTGTTCAGATCCATGAAGGCAAGCACTCAGTTCCTTGAGATCACAATGCTACTAAGGTTCTTAAAATGAGTCTGTGGAGCTGAGCCACTGTTCAAAAAGAAATTTTCCCAGCAGAGGAGCTATTTTTTTTAATTCAATATTTTGCAATTGGTTGAAGATGTGTGCTCATGAAGATTAAAATCTAAGCACATTAAAAACTTGAAGTTCTTGGGATGTTAGCCATACAATAGGCAGTAAATATGCAATTTTCCATGCCACTACAGTACGAACCTTTGGCTACAGCAAGCCAGTCTAAACAGGTGGAGAGTACCAACAACGAAACTGCTCACAGAAAGCTGCTGAAGCTTATGGAAAGATTTACTAGTTACAGTGAGGGGCAACTGGGAGGTTTCTAAAGGGCACAAATGTATCATAGTACCAAGAGTTTAAGAATGATTCACCTGTATGTGTGTAACAAAGAATATAATTTCTATGGGGTTTTGTAAATATGAGCTTTTGAAGGGAATAGTACTGTTATTGTGGAGATAGCTTCATTTGTTGAGCACTTATATTGATCACACTATTTCTAGTACTCTGAGGTATTGCTTTAGATTACAAAGAACACTGTCTTTCCTTGGGAAAATCTTCTTTACTCCAGGGTTGCCCCAAATGAAAACTGCTTTCTTACTCCTTTTTGGAAAAGCACAGTATCACTCTAAGACTTTACTATGTACTATAACAGTAAACTGGAGAAGTCATTCTATTCCTGTTCATGTTAGAGGCAATATGGCAATTAGTTTTTGTGGAAGAAACTTGAGATACCTTCATTTTACCTTTGCCAGTCATGGTAAAGGAGAAATATATAGGAAGCATAGGAAGAAAATCTTGAAAAAACTAAATGAACACACAAAGAATAACTTAAGCTGATTATGTAAATGAATGAAGGAAAATACTGCTACCTTTGATGAAACTATTCGGTTATCTGGAAATCTCTGTGGAATGTACGCTTCAGTGCCTGGAGGTGGCTCACGATGCCCAACATAAATAGTCCGACTGTCCACCCAATTCTCTTCTCCAGCACACTATGGGGGGAAAAACAAGTCATCGTGTCAGTTCACTCAGTATTTCTGCAGTAAGAGAAATCACATGCTGAATTAACTAGTCACATGTCTGATCATCAACACACACAGCTATCACCGCAAACCCCTCACACTTCTCTGTATAATCAAGACCACTAAAACACATAAAACTAAGTGTCAAAACTCTGCCCTAATTGCACTGCACTTTCCCTTAAGGCAATAAAAGGGAATCCATGAAAATAACTTTTCAATTATAAAGCTAAAAAGTCAGAATAACGAAGAATGGCTAAAGAGTATCTCAGATATTTAATAAGTGTTTATGTGGTTGCTACTCTTTTTACTACTGATAAAAATCAGTGGTAATTAAAATGTTTATGTATATGACAAGTACATCTCATTTTTAAGACTAGCTAGCCATAACTTGGTATCTTATTTGCAAAGTGATACTCTGTTCTCTGAAACACTAGTAATAACTATTTCCCCAGACACGAACAAGTTTAGGGACTCTTAGATTGCCAGGAAAAAGACCTCAGCTTGTCAACTCAGATCCCTTTCTCTTTAATGAAAGCTGTGTCTGCAAGTAGAAAAAAAAAAAGTAGATAAGCCGAAGTAAAATGTTCATATATTTGCATCATGAAACCCCACCACACCTACAGCTTGTCCAAAAGCAGCACTTTATGCTTTCAATTCACTGTAAAAAAATGTACAAGTCACTGCAGAAAATGAATTTACATAAAACCAAAATGATCAATTTTTATCTAGAAATATTTTTTTAGGGTGTTGGATTACAAAATGCTCATCCCTTAGCCAACAGTCTTACTAATTCCAATCTACCATATGAAAAATATTTTTAAAGTACAAAATACATTTTTAATACTTTGTCCCACATAGAGAAGCCCACGCATCAGCTCTTTTAACATCATCATTAGGTCAAGTCTGCAGTAATTTAACTATTTAAATATGTAATCAATTTAAACTCAAAAACTCTGCTTTATGTTGTAATGATGTATTTACATACACTTCCATTTAGCATATTAGAGGGAAGCTTCTTTTCTGCATCTTCAACAGCTACATCTATTTGGTTTATTAAATATGTCCTGAAAGCACTCCTGGGCACCTCTAAGGGTGACCTGTCAGACTGCTACTTAGCAAACTAAGACCAAAAAATACCAGGAACAGTTTGGTAAATAGAACAACCAAAGCATCACTCCCCAAAGCAGCTGGATGTAGCTGTGCAGTTCTTGACAGTAAGAGTTCAATCATATAGACATGGTATCTTCTTTTCTAGCTAGCCTTGCTGTCAATAGTTCTGGGCTTATTTACTTTACTACTACAGACATGGCCTAAAATAAAATTTAGTCTCAAACTTAAAAAAATATTCACCCTAACATTTCTTTTATTGGTTCATTACTATGATTATTCCACTGCCTTAAGTGCAACACATATGCAAAAAACAAGCTTTCAACATAAATTACTGTTGAAATTACAGTTTATATACACTTATAAAATCTTGCAATACTGTCAAAACCTGGAGCAGTGAAGCTTATAAAACAATTATCTATGTGATGTGCATGACTTTCTTGCAGGTGGGGGGAACAATAGAGAGAAAACCTATTGAACTCAGACTATTAACAGCAGAATAGCTGAGTAGTCATGAAGTAAAATGTAAAGTGAAATAAGAGGCTGAAAGAGAAGCAATCTCTGCTGTCCCAGGCATTTATAGTAGAACTAGTTAAAAAGGACCCTAAATCATTACCAATTCTTGCACTTTACAGAAAAATGAAGGCATTATGTTCAGAAGTCACCAAAGGCCAAAATTACAAAATTAGGCGTAAAACTAAAAATAAAGGTAAACCCAAAGTTTTTCTTAGCCATTTCAATATGTTATTCAATATTCAATAATTTGAAAGAGTCACCTAAATATTATATGAAGACAAGCTACTTAAAGGAAATAAAAGTGACAGCCATAGGACACACCAATAGCCTAGTCACAGGTTATGCTACACTCTGTAAGTATGCCTGACTCAGTAGGAATGCACACACAACATTTCTCACACGTCAGATCCCTCCAGTGTGGACCTGAAATTAGGATGTGGGTTAGTTTAAAAATTACACTGATTTTCCAGCCAGACAACTCTTTCTGTGTCACTGATTAGACTTTTCACAACTCAAAAAGCAAACTGACATTCAGCCCACTTATGAAGACCAGGTAGAATTCTTTCAGCCACCCAAAGTATTTTGAAAGTAAAGCAATGAATATGTTTCCATATTCTACCCTCCTTCTATGCCAAGAACAAAATGTGGTACCTTTTATCATTTTATTGGAACACAATATATTTTACCTTGTCAGTGCACTTGAATGTACAACGCACACAAATGATTTATTGACACTTGTCCTAAGTAATACTCCTAGAAATGCCAGAGAGTGTGAGATATTTCCAAGTAGTAGATTAGATTGTACAACATTTATTAATTTTTCGTTAGGGAGGACATTCCAGACACAAAAGCAACACAAAGATTACTCCTGATACAGTTAAGTGCTTGAGTTCAGAGACTATTGCATAAAGGACTAATGGAAATTCAACACATGAATCCTCGAACATCAAGAAGAAATCCCTCGGCTTCTCCTTCCTTCTACACAGGCCCAGCCTGACAATTTCTCTTATATTTATTATGAGACAATCTAAGACAGCTTGAGAAGGATATTATTAGTTCAAAAAAAGCATTTTTTTTTTAAATTTCACAGTAAAACTGATCTTTATCATGACTCTTGTTAAAACAGTCCTCTGAAATTACCTATCAAGCTAGGGAGTACCAAAGACAAAGCTCTAAACAGCATTCTCCTGTATTACTACCAGCTTTTAAAGGTCTGATGGCCCTGGAGTATTGTGTTAACACTAAGTAAACCAAGTTAATGTCACAACCTGGAATTTGTATCCCTAGAGAAAGGCTCTATAAAATTTACTTTAAGCATGGATATCAAATCAGGATAACTTCTTCTGTTAGCTTAATTGGATGTGGTTTTATCATGAATTGATAAATTCGCCACAAAGTACAAACCCATATGTAACTTAATTTTAACTATCTGCGCTCCCTATTCAGCCAGGCCGGTCGATTTCCCCTCCGGTTGGTCTTACGGCACACGGGGACAGCCCGCTCCTGCGCCCTTGAGACTGCGCCCTTAATAGTGAACAGAAAATAAATGCACTTCACTAATCCAATTCAACTGCTTCAAAACCCCAAAACATTCACAGTCTAAGTGTAAAAATTTAGCAGGGAAGAGTAAGGCTATGTTTTTCAGCAAGATAGAAGTGCAATGCAAAAAGTAGCAGGCCTTATTCAGTATGACCACAAGGAAATTCCCTTACACAAAGCAGAAAGATGCTTTTAGGAAAACAGCATTGTAAGTCAGGACACATGCCACAGAAATATCAAAACACACCAACTGAATGTCTGGTATTGCTAATCTACAAAGCCAAACACGTTGATCCAAAAATTCTTTTAATGTTCAGGTATTGCACATGAGAGACCACTTACAGAATGACACCAGGGTAACTGAAAAAAGCAATCTGATGCTGCTGCCAGAACAATGAGCTATATTCACTTTTTTTTAAGTTCTATTATTTAAACCCATTAAGGCTCTGTCCAAGAAACCATAAATAAACCTTAGCATTATCTGCTTCTATTTATAGTATAAAGCTCAATGTACTGAGACCTATTTTCATTGGCACATCAAGGAAGAAGCATTACTTAGCTTTTACTCTTTCAAGCAGGGTCAGCAATACAGAAAGCAAAGACCAGCAAAAGACTACAGTCCTCCTTACATAACACTAAATAAAGCCAGTTAACAGGATTATACCTTAATGCATATATGAGTTCAAGTATTCATGCAGCTTATTTTTCTGATTTAAAAATCAAACTGAAACTACCTTGAGATTGACCTTCATGCTACTCTGCTAATTTTTATCTAAATTTAATTTAAATAAAAATATATTATCTGAAAAGACAAGGGAGTTAGTATTCAACAGGCAATAGGATGATGGGAAGATGCTAGCAGTAGCTCTTGGAAAAGTAACAGACCTTGGAAGACTCCAAGTCTTTCCAAGTATTTTTAGTAAAGAGATTTGACTTATGGTTTGGAAATCAATGGAAACATTGAATGACATTTCCTGACTCTCCACTTAAACTAGTAACTTGGGCATAATTAGTAGCAATGGTCTTTGGTTTAAAATTATAGTCTCTCTCCAAATAATGTAAACACAACCACCACTAAAATAAGTTAATATGCATTAAGTACAGCTGAAAATTCAGCTAAAATCTGCCCTGGCCAGGCTGTAAGTACACTTTGTTGAACAATATTCTCTCCTACTTTTTTGCTAAATGCTTTCTCAGAAAGTCATTAATGGACAGTACACTCTAACCGCAGATTTGACAGCAATGAATTCTCAGCATCAGCTACAGCCTTGTTCACACAGGCTGTAACTCAAGTTCTTACACAACAAAATAGTTTATGCTTGTAAAGGCAGGCTTTGGCCACAGCCTGGTGTTTCAATAAAACACTATTTGATCTCAGTAAAGCAATTAGCACTGTTGTTAAAATTGCACACCAAATGCACAGCTGCTCAATCACTTTGGAGCTTCAGGACAGCAGACACTGACAAGCTATTATCACTCAAAACCTGCAGGAAGAACTAATGGCACACAGTGTGGAAAAGCTTTCACATATAGAGAATTTTGCTCATATCTAATTGGGTACATTACAACAGCTCTGCACTAAAAAAATGCCCTCAGTTTGTAATTTTTCATTCAGTGGAGAGAAACAACTTCAGTATCTCAGAAAGCTGTAATTCACTAAAGTGATAAAAAGGAACTACTTTTCCTTTCTAATATGTTAGGCAAACTATCTTCTTTATTTATCATACACTATTTACCAAATCATGAGATCATATAACCACGTTTTTGTCTTAATTTGTCAAAGGTACCGAGTACCTGTTTATACTTGACTCAGCACCATTCTACAGGTAAATGTGCAGCCATCGTCCTATGCAAACAATGGCACACTGTACAAATTTTTACCAAAACTTTCCAAATCCAGTCAGATACACTGTCCTTTTAAAGGTAGATCTGATCTATGAATCATAAAAAGCAGAATCCCTCTAAATAAATAAATAAATCTACATTTCCTGTAATGGCTAGCCAGTAAAAGAGATTAAGAATTGAAATAGCCCACACTTTGCAAGAAATCTCATGAATTTACATGTCTGTCTCCATGGAGATAAAGGGTGAAATTCTCATCCACTTAAAGGATCTTAGTAAGATTTTAAATGTTAGGCAAACTCACTAAGACCTATATAGATCACCTAAGATTTTCATTTTGTTCGCAGCATTGTATCAGCCCTCCATATGAATGAACCAAGCTCAGAATGAAGTGTAAATATAACTTTTAAAGCTGTTAAGATTGCTTTCATATGTTTCATATGAATATAGACTGGCAGAGATAAAATAATTCAAACATATAATTATCAGATAAATTCACTATCAGGTTTTATAATCTGAAAAAGGACCACCTCAGTACTAGGTACTGTAAACAGAAAGTAAATTATTTCATGCACCTATAAGCCATATGGACATATGCCATTAAACCACTAATTTAATGGAAAACCAAAATGGAGCACTTCAGAGGCAACCACAACAAAACCAGAACAACTCTCTCCCAGAAAATTCTATGACTAATCAACACATTTCCTACAGGAAATGTCACTGTCATGGGATCTGTTGCCTTGTACCATTGCTACAGAATATTTACCACTGCATTTCTTTTCAGCAAATGCATTTTAAATCCTTGCATGGTGATTTTCATCAGAAATAACATTTGAAAATAAAACTCCCAATACAATTGCCTACAAATCACACAATGTTGGACACAAGTACATGTGGAGGGAGAGGAAAGAGAAGATTAATAAACATTCTTTGACTTCAAATAGGTTATTTTATTTACAAATCTCAGGTAAGGGATGTGATTAGAAGCAAAGTGAGGTACATCTTAACGACAGAAAATGGTGCTAGGTCCACAAGTAAATTTCGTGACAAAGCCACACCTATACTATTTGGTGGATCCTGGTTTTCTGATCCTTCTTTTCCATCTCCTGCAAGTGTCTTGTGCATGCAAGCAGAAGAGTAAATGATTTCATAGCAATAGGCTACATAAAGTTTTGTGAAATTGCTTGAAGTTGGAAAGAGGAAATGCAGAAATATGATGATGAAATCATGTAAAAGTTCTGTAATTCACAGTGGTTAGAACAAACATTCTGACACAATAGCAAATATTCCAGTTTCTGTAAAATACCTAACACCTCTGTATGTGCACTCAATATAAATTTATCTCAGCCTTCCAGTTCATGCCTCCTTGAGCACTGTACTTAGAATAAAAGGTTTCTGAAGCTATCCTAATACAGCTATATTCCGATCTTGTCACATCAGTTTGCACAGGGACATTCTAATATATAATATAGCACTTTGTAGACAGTCCAATTGTCCTTTCTGATTTCCAGTTTAGAGCATCACCTTTAACTGAATTCCATGTACATGAGTGGTTGAATCATTCAACTTCATGGATGACAAAGCCAGTGATCTGTGTTCCTTCTAAAAAGAGTTACAGTAATTCTTTGTTTCAAATACATAAAAACTAACCCAAGTTTTTCAAGCAAGATTAAGATCTTTCATAAATGGTCAATTTAAACACCAAATATTGCTGACAAACTGGCCCATTAGGTATACCTATTTGTGACGCTTGTGCTTTCTCTTCAAGAGAAAGAATCATGTTTAGTTTCCCTGTTTATTTCCACGAAAAGGAGCAATAAGAGTGATACAGATAAGTCTTCTATTTCTTTCACATGTTTAATCTTCAACCAATTTCAAGGAGTCACTGGGATGATGGTAAAAAGGTAGATCTGTGAAATATGTGAATTACTGGACAGCTGGAAAAATGCTTTTGCTTCATTTCTTTCCCTTCCTCCCACTATACTGGTTCTGACACATTTTGCTTCTTGCTGCCAGCGGGACAGGGAGATAGTGTGCCTCCTTGCACACCTCCCCAGCCCCAGTCAAGAACTGCTACATGGAAATCCTTTCAAGACTGTCACACTTGCAATTAGAAAGGCAAATGAGGAACAAACTACACTGCAAATAGAAGTGATAAGAGAAGCTAGAAGGGAAAGTGTCACATAAGACACATGATATTTGGCAGCCTTAGCATTTAAATTAATTATAAATCAAGTTTGTATTTAAGTAGCTCCAGACCAACAGCTGAAATTAAGGTTTGTGGAGAAAATTTACAGCTTCCTTAGGTGCTAACAAAAGCTGCAAAACAACAAGAGCAATTTTATTTCTTGCAAGGCAACTAAACACCACTAAGATTTGCATGCAGTGCCAGTCAAACTCAGAGAGTATCTGTAAAGATACTTCTAAAGATAGATACTTTTAAAGAGAGTTGTACAGATATTTCAGAATGCAGGGGTTTATACTCTCAGTTGCCAGGAAATAATTCTATTTGCAGTAATTCATCAAGATTTTGAGGTCAGAAAATTGACATTTCAAAAAAATACTATTTTTACAGATTACATATTCAAAAGAAACAGGAGGATGGAGGGAGGCAAGCAGCAGACTGCTTTCATTCATTCAAAAATAAGTAATCAAAACACAGATATACCATACTGTTTGTTTTCTTTTATATGAATATACTAAATGATTAAGAAAAATCAAGCAAAAATACCTGCTGTCAACCTTTTCAAAAGCACAAGTAAATGCATATGGGGACAATAGGCATTGGCAAGACTAACA